CTATGGAATTCCTTGCCCAGTGAAGTAGTTGACGCTACTTCAGTAAACGCTTTTAAAAAAAAGGTAGATTTTTTTTGAACAATAAAGGAATTAAGGGATACGGTGAGAACACGGGTAAGTGGATCTGAGTCCACGAAAGGATCAGCCATGATCTTATTGAATGGCGGAGCAGGCTCGAAGGGCCAGACGGCCTACTCCTGCTCCTAGTTCTTATGTTCTTATGTTCACCCAGGGAGATGGTATGGCTCATCTCCTTGGATCTTGTTGCCCTTCCCTCCCCCGCACCCACACCCCCATCCCTGTTAATATACAGCAAACTTTGGTTTAGCCAGCACTCTCGATAAACTGGCAAACATTATATACCTCAAATATGGCAAAGTTTACTGTACCATTCTGTTCAGTTATTATAGTTTGTAAATTTATTAACGTCAGTATAGATATACTTGTTGTTCAATGGAATGGCCATATGAAATATCAACAGTTCATTCAATTTCTTTTCAAATACCACAATCTACCATGATATCTGAGTAGTCAGTTGAGACTGTAAATGAGAAGGTTCTCTGCCATTAAGTTTTATTTAAGGCAAAGTTGCATCATTACTTGAGTGATTTATGCTGTAAATAAAGTTGAACAGTGAGGTGAATATCCCTTGCATTACATTTCTATTGCTTGGTGTGTGCTTTTACATTGATAATGTGGAATATTTGATCAAGTGGCCCAGTCCTAGTCCCGTAGGTGCCAGTTAATGAAAAATTTACTGTATCTTCTTTGGGGATTGGCCATCAATGCTATGTCAATCTCCTGTTTAACTCCTCTTAGCCAATGGCTGTGAGACACTTTCTCATGAGTCGGACGACTGTTGTCCCCTTGCCCACCTCCATTTCTGGGTTAGTTTTCATTACTTCTAAGACCAAACCTTCTTATTTTCAATACACTACATCTATAATGGAGTAGGGTGACACGTGAGTCAAGACCTTGATGATTCTTTTCATTATTATGACATGTCCTCTGTTTTCATCGAGAGATGTGCTTACATTTGCAGAAGGCAAATTACGAATGTGACACTGTTAAATGATGTCTAAGGCCATATAGGAAATACCAAATATAGAATGCAGACCTAACAAAGGTTTAAAGGGGCCCCATTTCTCAACAGACTTGATCCATGAGGATACTAGCTATTTTGAGAAATGTCTTAATTTAGATTTAGGGGAGGTAACTCCTGAGCTTTGTGGCTTGACAGATAATGGCTGATCTGATCATCTTTAACTCCACTTTCCTGACTTCCCCAAAGCCACGCATACCCTGGCCAGGCCCTTAAGAATCTTAATAAAAACCGAAAGAACTGTGGATACTGTGAATCAGGAACAGAAACAAAGTTGCTGGAAAATCTCAGCAGATCTGACAGCATCTGTGAAGAAAAAGAAACTCAGTTTTGAGGAAGGGTCACCAGACCCGAAACATTAACTCTTTTTTTCTTCACAGATGCTGCCAGACCTGCTGAGATTTTCCAGCAAATTTGTTTTTGCTCCATAAGAATCTTATACGTTTCCATAAGGTCTCCTGTCATTCTTCTAAATTCTAATGTATACAAGTCCAACCTATTGAACCTCTCCTCATAAGAAAATCTCAACCTACTTAGAGTAGCTTAGTTAACCTTCTCTGGACTGTCTCCAGTACCAGTACTTGGACAGGGGACCAGAACTGTTCACAGATTGCAAGTGCAGTCTGACTGGTGCCTTTAAGCCTGTTATGCACAGCAAAGCAATGCATATCATCTATCAGGGTAGAGGTAGATAGTGAGTGAATAGAATTGGAAAAAATGTGGTAGACAGAAGAGCCTGAAGGTTGTTCAGCAGAAGAGCAATAAGTCCTGGGACTGCCTGATATTTAGGAGCCCTGGGGTTTGGTGACCTGAGGGTGGGGCAATAGACATTTGTAGCACCGCGCTGACTGAAAGTTATTATCAGAAACACCTTTGCACATGTAGGTTTCCACATTCCCTTACCTGTTTGTCCTCATCCACGCAATGGTTCACATTTGGGAAGGTAGGAGTGCTGCGCATGTGCGGAGGAAAAGGCGTGCTCTGCTCGGCTTCTTGTTGACGGCTATGCAAAGTTAAGTTTTGTGTCCGGAAGACCACACGCGATATAGTTGTGGAGAATGGAAAGGGCAGAGGAGAGGCCTGACTATGTGCTAGTGTACGAGAAGGAGGAGGATGGGAATGGCCAGCTTCACATTGAGCAGAGATTGGACTTTCTCAGGGAGGTGAAAAAGACTGGACTTCTCCTGGATCCTGATGTGACTGACACAGCAGGGACTGAGGGACGAGGAAGCACAGAGATGGGAGACCAACAGAAGAGGCAGGAAGTCAAAACTCAGATCATTAAAATCTATGCACCGTTTGAGATCCTTAGCCATGCAGCGGAGAAAATGAGATTGAAGATGCCGTTGGCGGTAAGAAAATCAAACACTTTTTTCAAAGATTCAGCTTCTGGGTGATTCAGTCCCAAACAGATTCTGTTGCATCCACACACAAACCAGCACAGGTGTTCTCAGAAGGACATACACCATTTGATTAGAATTTATAATCTATTTACTTTTTGTTTAAACAAAAAGGTGTGTTGTTTATACGGACAGCGACCTTTATAGCGCGCATCATTGGACTTTAAACTCTTGCCACAAGGAACTTTATTTCTTGCAATGAAGTGTATATGCAAAGTACAATTTTAATTTTAGTAATATTCAGTCGCTGTGAAAGATCTTTCCCAGAAATATTGTGAGAAAGACATTTTCTAGGCACGTCATAAGGTTCATGCTATAAACTCATTTCATTCCGGATAAAACACTAACAAAGCATAAACACAGTTTTATTGTCCATAATATCTTGCTAAACCCGATTTATTCATCAGAGATTGCTTAGGAGTTACCTAGTCCACCTGACAGATGATAAACACTACAAACCATAACCTCTGCGGGGGGGGGGGGGGGGGAAATGTCTTTAACGACAAAAGAGAAATTAAGTAAAAATGTAAAAAGTAAATCTAAAGTTCACGATTTTGCTATTAATTGAATTTAACAACTCAGTTAATTAGTGAAGAATAATTATGAAGCTAACTTCTTTGAATGTGATGAAGTTTCACAAATAAGTATGTGTTATAGTCAAGCCATTTGACAGTGGAAGGCTGGGTCAATTTGTCTCCAGCCGACCATCACTTTCACCAATGCTAACTGGATACTTCCAAACAGCAGCAGTTTCCTCTTCCTGACTCAGGGAATGGTACACAAGTATTGCCCTGGGCAATGCTCTTGGCTCCATCCCTGCCTCCATTCCCCATCCACTGGTCCCAGGTGTGATGAAAGAGGGCATTTTTCATTCTTTTCTGAAGGAGAAAAACAAAAGGGGAAAAGGTGTCCTCTAACAGTGTTATGAAGCACTAAGATTGTCGTCCAGGTGTGTTGCGCTGTTCCAAAATAATTTTGAAAACTTCTGAAATAAAAAATGCTTAGAGCGTAGTTAAGATATTAACTGTTTGTACGTATATATGTGCTACTCAGAAGTTAAGAAGAGACAGTGGGGAAAATTTGGACGGTGGATTATTTCGGAAGATCAAAGTCTTCAGAACGGTAGGTGGCTTTCATGACCAGGATTCTGAGGGAGAGAAAAAAATGTTTTAACCATGCCTTAGGCGTCATTAGCGCGGAGCTGTTACAGAGCATAGCTTCGCCAGGTAGGATTTTCTGATGAAGGGTCTAGGCCCGAAACATCAGCCTCTCTGCTCCTATGATGCTGCTTGACCTGCTGTGTCCATCCAGCCCTGCACCTTGTTGTCTCGGATTCTCCAGCATCTGCAGTTCCTACTATCGCTGATAGGATTTTATATTTCTTGCTTTTCCGATGACATTTTTAAATTGCCTTTTGTAAGCTCTAGCTTTGTGAATATGTCCTGATTTTGCTCACAAGTGAAACTTTAATGTATTACCATATGTTGGTGAAAGTATCTCATATAAATTCAGCTCTGCACATACCAATGTAATCAAACGGAGATAAAATACCGGGGATGCTGGAAATCTGAGACAAACGCAAAATGCTGGAGGCGCTCAGCAGGTCTGGCAGCATCTGTGGAGAGAGGAACAAAGTTAACGTTTTGACTTCTTCAGAACCGGACACAAAACGTTAACTCCGTCTGTCTTTCTCCACAGATGCTGCCAGACCTGCTGAGTTTCTCCAATAATTTTTGCAATCTTCCCGGTGATCTTCATCATACTATGTTGCCCGCACTAACGATTCATTCAACACACCGTCATTCATCACGAGTAATTGCAGTCTCTATCATGCCAGCTGTAAAAGCAAGGAACGGTCTCCAACTCGAAGCAACTTTTCGAGCCGCTTTTCATAGCATTATCCCAGTAATTGATATGCATTCGTGGCTTTCTCACTCATAACTAAATCATTATCTCATTTCTTTTGTTTTGTTTTACAAATGAGATTAAAATTTTTATTCTCAGCAAAACCAATGCAATTTTTAATATTCTTAAAATTTCCGTTAATGATTAATACAGTACTAAAATGCATGTACACATAAAAATACTCTCCATGGAAATTGTCAAGTTTTCTTTCCATCATTGTGGGACCAGGGGTTTCTGGCAAAATGGCTGGTAGCACGTTAGAGGCAAAAGGTTGAGCCTTTTTGCTCTCAGGTGCCTCCTACATATCTCACAATGTCATAGGATCATACAGCACAAACAAGGCCCTTCCACTCATCCAGACTGAGCTATCCAGACTGAGTTGCTAAATCTCACTTTCCAGCACTTGGAACATAACCTTGAAAGTTATGATAGTTCAAGTGCTCATCCATGTACCTTTTTAAAGGTTGTGAGATGTCCCTGCTCAACTACCCTCCCATGCAGTGTATTCCAGATTCCCATCACTCTCTGAGTTGAAAACAAATTTTCTTCACTAGATCTCCTGCCCTTCACCTTTAAAATAGTGGCCCTTTGTTATTGACCCTTCAACTAAGGGGAACAACTGCTTCTTACACATCTAATCCATGCTCCTTATAATCTCAAACACTTCAGTCAGGTCCCCCCTCAGCCTTCTCTACTATAAAAAAAGAACTTGCAAATCCAGCCTCTCTTTTTAACGAACATGTTGCAACCCAGCCAACAGCCCAGTAATACTCCTTTGCACTCTTTCCAGTATCAGTTACAATTTGTAAATCATAGCTACCTGTTATTAAAAACCAGTGTTTAAAGTTTCAACAATGTTGAGTCTAACAGTTGGTTAAGGCTAAGGTAACCAGGCAACACTGGAACTCAAAAGCTTGTGGTAATGTAAATCATTGACTCTCTACTTGCTCTGCCCTCACCAACCCCATATCTGAGATTTTACCAGGCTCCTAGTAGCAGTTAGACATGTAACCATTACAAAACGAACTATTTTCAGGCAAGTCCGAGCTATTCAAAATGCAAATTCATTGTTGAAGGGTCTAGGCCCGAAACATCAGCCTTTCTGCTCCTATGATGTTGCTTGGCCTGCTGTGTTCATCCAGCTCTGCACCTTGTTGTCATTGTAATTTGAAAGGTTGCTTTATGTTTGCCTTTTCAGATTGATGACTTTCGAAGAAAATGTGTGTCAAATGTGCAAAATTATTTTGAGACAGACAACGAAGAAGACTATTACTGTGCACCTTATAGACATGACAAACAAGATCTGTTCAAAGGAATTGACCAAAAGGCCACATTTTTTCGTCCTGGCGTGAGATCTCTAATTGTAAATTGCATTCTTTGGTGTGATAAACATTGTTCTAATTTGAAATCATTTGTTTATATAACAATAAGTTGTTTTCTGCCTCACTTGTTCCAAATACATTCAGGAGTAATATTACTTATGTGTTTATAACATAACTCATTGAAAAATGCAGCTTCCAAACCATGCAACAAATGTATGAAATTTGATATTTTTAAACTTTGGGAATGAGTCTCAGATCTGGAATTTCCTGGTTTTGTGAGATGGGATTGGAGGTGAGGGTGCTACAAGAGGTTCTGGGAAAAACATGTTGGGGGAAATATGCTGGCATAATTCCCTGTGCAATCCTGCCTTCGATCTGCTTTCCCATGAATGGTCTAGGACTCCATAGAAGTCTGTCAATTAGTCCAGTTAAGGCTCCACTTGTGGCCCAGTTTGCACTGGTTCTGATAACTTACTGATGTCAGAACAGCTCCCTGGCATGTGCAGATGCTAACAACTTAATTAAGGAGACTTCCTGGTGGCTAACCTGGGGCTAACAAAGCTGAAGGCTCTACATCCAGCAATGGAACTGTCAGGATGAAAGACTGCTTCTCCTTCCATGAATGGATTACAGAGGGGTTTCCCTTCCAACCCAGTAATTGGCCCTTTCTAACTTATAATTCATTGCAGATGAGAATGCAATTTTGTTGAGATACTATCTGCCTGCCTTCGCAGTAGCCATCTCTTCCAATGAGCCTGTCAGCCTGAGGTCACTGCGGGACCTCTGAGTGGACCTGCAGCACAGGACCCTGCCCATCACCCTTAATAGAACAGATAGCATGAAAATGGCCAATTAGGAAGCTACCTTAAGGCAGTTTGTGCCAAAGGGCTTGTGGGTGACATTGGCGAGTTCAGGAATGTGATCTGAGTCTGACAGCAATGTCTTGGTGTATGTTGGATTCCTACTAGTTAATTGCAACAAGATAGGGATAGGTGCAAAATGAATCATTTCATTCAGAATACAGACACTAAAAACAATTTTTTTTAAAGATCAATTGAAATGCTGTTTGGTGGACAACTATGAACAGAAGCTGTTGTGCAAAGCCAGTTTTATACCCAGCTATAATATTCAGAATCTATTGACCATGTGTGTGGCACTGATTCCTAAAGTTCTTCAGTCTGCAATAGAAACCTTACCTTACAATCTTACTTCATTGTTATTTACACCATTTTTATTCATTAAAACCATTGCATAAGTGGAAATTATCACGAGTATATCCACTCTTCCTTTCACTCAGAATGAGCCCATCAATGTGAAGTGGAAACAAATAATAGATATGGATTTATATATCTGCTAAACTTGCAGAGGAGTCTGGATCCTTTGTTTTGATTGTTTTGCCGTTTGACTGCTGATGTTCAGTAATCTAGAGCAGTGGCAGCCTTGAGCTGAGATAGTGATCATAGAGTGTCCCAAGGCCCAGTGCTTCTACTTCCAGGAATGGAAAGAAAAATACAGCTTTGAACAAGTTTATCCCTTACACTTCATCTGTAGTAACTTCAGTACTTCATCTAGCTCATCCACTTAATGTTAATCTTTATTGTCTGCCACCTTCTTTTTACCACTAGTAAATCTGATTATTTACTTTCCTTCATTCAGTGATTGTTAGCTGTGATTGAATTTGCAGAATTGTTATTTCTGTACATTGAGATATTACTTGCGCACATTTCTTAGCATTTATCTGTTGTAAACCAATAAAGCCCGATGTGATACTGAGCGCACAGATCATATATGGGATATTGTTGATCAAAGTGAGTTTATAACACACACAGGATTGTGCATTTGCCTATTTAGGCAAACAGGAAGTGAGCCATTGCAAGTTCAGAGCTACCTGCTCCTTAACAATTACAATCATGTGACTGAAATATGTTGTTATGGTGTGGTTGGCAGATACACCATTATTTTATCTTTCTAGCAATGTGTTCATATCCCATCACTACTAATACCAAAAGAAATTTGGTAGTACAGACCTTGGGTATCGCCAATAAAAGTCACACTTGTCAAAGATTTTCATCTTGCACTCACCGGGACATTTTGCAAGAATATAAACTCAAGAGAAAAGAGAGGATAGTGCTGATTCATTGGCAAGTGAATTCAGATTGTTAAAAGCCTAGCTATTAAGACTATATTAATGCTGATCAACATTTATTAGCCAGGCTGTTTAAAATTTTAATCTATGCAGGTTGACCCTGATTGGTCAGCGCATAGCCATTTACTGGTTCATTCTTCAGGCAATCATTAATTTGTTGAGTTTAAACAGGCACATTAGTTTTGAAAGAACAGGGGCCTATACATTAATATATGTAGTTTTGAATACACACAAGCGTACCACACTGTAAGCCTGACTCTAGATGCTAAATTGGTTGTCAGCATAATTCCATGCACATTCAGGATTATCCAGCAAATGTTGTCCAACTGCAGAATCGCATCTAACATTAGACATTGTGCAGCAAGGATTGATTGGATACAATCAGCACCTTGTTTGTTGTAAACTAACATGGGGACATCCTGTTCAGTACAATGTGCCCGTCTTTGGGTTTTATGGTCTACATACTTGGCATCGCACCAGTATAGACCACATTACTCATTCGTCTTAATGGCAGAGTGTATTTTTGGATTGATGGCAGCTTCCTGATAGTGACAAGTACCACTTGTGTTGCTATGGGATATTTGTAGCATGGAACAGCTAGCTTCACTTGTTACTTACATTTTTGAGATACCTTACACTTCCAGGGTAATAAGAGGTGGACTGGACACTTTTCAAGACCAAGAGTGGCTGCCTTCCCTGAGTTTGCATGATATAGAGTGAGAAATGATCTGATTAGGGTAGCCATTACTATGCAGGATGGCTTTGATAAAACAAAATAATGCCCTATTTTAGCATTAAGTTTGCACATTAACCAAATGGCTCAGACCCAGTTTACAAGACTTCTGATAAAGGTCAATCTTGTAGCACATAGAACTGTAGGAATCCCCACATACAATCTGATCAGTGAAGGTTTGTTTGCGGTAGAATGTTGAGAGAACCCCGCCATCTCCCACCCCTTTGATTTCTCAATTGGAACATCAGGAGAGAGAGAGCTCATTGACTGTTCCACTTAAAACATGAATTTGAGCACAGGATGCAGCCAGTGAGACACATGAGGAATTTTTACGTGCAGCCAGGAACTCAAATGTAGCAAATGTATGCAATGTATTCAAATAAAGCAATATATTGGAAAACAAGTACAAAAGGTAGAAGATTAGATGTAATCCCATTAAAGACACATTTCTAATGGATCCCAACAAAGATATTTTTGAATACTGGACCTAGTGGGGATCCCATTGCAATATCATCTATTTGGGCATAAAAGACATTACCTTGGAAGGTTAGGGCAAGTCAAAAGTTTAAGCAACAGATGAAGTACCTTTTTCACATGGTTACAATGCAATAGTAACATGAGTGGTGTTCACCACCAACAGGATGCTGCTGTCAACCAATCAGCATCCTCACTTTCATTTTTCTCCTGCATGGACCTCTGAAGTTGGGATATGGCAGTGACATTTGGAACCAAAAGTCAATGCTGCAATTTGTGTCGACGTGTCAATCATCATGCGCAGGATATCAGACCTTAGAGGGTACTTTCATCAGTACTGTCCTCTCATGGAGTATAAATGTTGCTTTGCCCTTGAATTTGTATTCTTGCAAAATGTCCTGGTGAATCAAAACAAAAAGCTTCAACAAAATGTGTTTTTTATATCTGCAATACTATTAATAATATTATTTTCTAGATTGTCAATTCATCTGTAGCTTGGTACGGTCATTGGTTAATGAAGAAATTTTTGACTGGCTTAACTAATTAATAAGATCCAGATCAGCCATGACCAAATCAAATAGCAGAACAAATGTGAGAGACTGAACAGTCAACTCCTCTTTCTATATTCCTATGATAACATTGGCCTATATTTGTGTAGCACTTTATAGTGACAAAGGTAGAATTAGAAATAGATTTATGAGAATGATAGCAGAATGAGGGATTTTAGATAGATGAAAAGGTTAGAGGAATTGGGCTCATTCTCCTTGGAGCAGAGAAGATTATGAGGTGACCTTAATGAGGTGTTCAAAATTATGAACAATTCCGACAAGGTAAAGAAGAATATTCTATTTCCACTAGTTGGTATGCCAGTAACTAGGGCTCACAATTTCAAGATTGTCAGCAAGAGAGCTAGGAATGAGAAACTTATTTGCTCAGAGAGTATTAGGATTTGGAATGGACAGCCTGGGAGAGTGGTGGAGACGGATTCCATAGGAGATTTCAAAAGGGAGCTGTATATATATTTGTAAGTGATGAATTTAGAGTGCTACGGAAATAGGGCTGGAGAATGGGATGGGATGGGTAGCTCATCAAGAGCCGGTACAGATACAATGGATCAAATGGTCTCCTGTACTGTAAAATTCTATGATTCTAAAACATCCTGAGCTACCTCATAGAAGAATTAACAAAACTGACCCACCTAAAGAGTTATTAGAAAGATGACCAAATGCTTGGTTGCAAAAATAGGCTTTATGAAGTATCTTATTTGAGGAAAAAGGGGGAAAGTAGCGGAGATCTAGGGTGAGGACTCCATACCTTGGGCTTTAGGTAGTCTAATATTTGACCAGCAGTGGTAAGTGGGTTGAAGGACTGCTAGAAGTTACATAGATCAAGAGGGGTGAGGCCACGGAAGAATTTGAAAAGAAGGATGAGAATTTTAAAATCGAAGAGTTGCTTTACCCAGAGCCACTGTGGGTCAGCTGATGAGTGAACAGGGCATTGTGCAATTTAGGACAGGAGCAGCAGCATTTTAGATTACTTCAAATCTACAGAGAGCAGACTGTGGGAGGCCAGTTTGCAAAGTAATTGGAATAATCAAGTCTAACAGAAGTAGTAAAGGCATGAATGAGGATTTCAGCTGCAGATAATCTGAGGCAGGGACAAAGTTTGGAATTATTACAGATGCAGAA